ATTAGTTCTGCCGTGAATATTGATTGGTTGTTTGGGAGTCGGAAGGATTGTGTGGTTTCAGTTGGTTGTGTGGGATGGACTCTGAAACCTGTGTGTTTGGAGGTCGGATCTGAGGATCCGTCCGTGTAAATGTGACAGCAATTTGGCCAATTTTCGTGTATGTATGCTAGTGTGGTAGTTTTAGCTATGTTTGGGTCGGTTTGTTTATTTATTTGGCTAGCTAGTGTGGGTATTTGAGGTGTAGGAGGTGCCATGTTGGGTGCGTGTAATTAGTTTGAGAGCCTGATATTGTATTGAGTCAAGTTTTTTAGATAGAGAGTTGTTTAGGGATTTGTATATGGCGCAGCCGTAGTCTAGTTTTGATCTAATTAGTGATATGTAGAGAGAGAGGAGGGTATCTTTGGAGGCTCCCCAGTTAGAGCCAGTTAGGCATCTTAGGGTGTTTAGGTCTTTACTACATTTAGTTGTTAGGTTTTGGATGTGAGCATCCCAGGTGAGATGTTCATCGAAAATAAGTCCTAAGAATTTGGTTTGTTTTTGGAATTTGATTGTGGGAGGTGGGTTTCATGTTTTTTATGTTTGAATACTATTCCTGGGTTTTTTTCTGAGTTAAGGGAAGATGAATAGCAGTCAGCGTGGTTGTAAATGCACAACTGACTAAGCCGTCTCTACTCAATTAAGTAATTAACAGACAATTGCAAGCGCTAATACCCACCCGACACTAATTGCCCTGTTAATCCCTAGTCCACAATGAGTTGACATTGAGTACATTTTGCTAATTAGCTGTTTTTAGAGTAGCAAGGTAATAAACATCAAAGGTGGGGCAGGCTTTGATCATGTGTTCTGTAGAAGAGATGATGTCACTTGTTTTATGTTTATTTAGGATAAGCTACATCCCTTGGTGCTACCAAGGCAGCCCTTCAGATTATCAGACAGCTTGGCTGGACACAAACTGATGTCTCCCTTGTAGCACACTATGTGTCAGACAAGGGGTAACCTCCCAAAACCCCTACATCCCATTTCCCCTACAGCTTAAGACAACAAAGTTCACGGTCCATGGCACTGCTAATCCCTAGTCTGTTACCTATTTCATACAATGGAACAACCCAAGAAACACGAATAGATTGAGATAGACATTTAATTACGATTACGATATTTTTCAAAATTTATAATACATTATAACAAAATGTTCATTTTTCAAAATTCATAATACATTATAATAAATTTCATCTAAATTCATGTTCAATTCACTCTTTATCCCAGCCTGAGGAGATGGCCAACTGCCTCTGGAAACTGCAGTGGGGATTTCACCTCTCTATTCAACTCGTCCTTCAGGCAGCAGAGACTGTTCTCCACCTCTCTGTGCATTCTCTTCTAAAGTCGAGCTGTAAAATCTTAGCTTGTTCTGCCTGTTCCACCTTCCTGACTACCTCCACAAGTCGGTAGATGTTGGTATGTCGGTGAGGGAGACCTCAGTTGAGTCGGTTATGAAAGCCTTCCAGGTTGTTGTTCGTCCTGGGACCTGTTCCTGTTGTACCGTGATGGTTCCACAGTGGTAGGGGGAATCGTGTTCCGTGGTCGACCCAGGTAGTGACGATGTAGTCGTTGAAGGAGACAGCTCTTGGTACATTTGGTGTGTTGTCCATTGCGTCAACCCACGTGTCCTGGATCTTGTTCTGGGGGAGTAGGGGTTGACTCTTCTCTCGCTCTCTTCCTCAGGGTGCTCATAAACCGGACCTTCTGGCTATCCTCAGGGCCATAGTTATGCTCTGTAGCATTCCTCATCATGATTCCTACTGTCGTGAGTCTTACTCTACATGTGGACTTAACACACTTCCAAACAAACTTAACAAACTCAACATTGCGAAGAACAGTCATGTTGATGTCATGTTAGTGACTGACTGACTGATATAGAAGATTTAACGTGCGCTTTCCGACTGCAGCGTATTTCGCACACGGGCCTGGCCGAACCATTTAGTGTATTCCGAAAAGGGTGAAAGTGGTGTGTGCAACCAAAGAGGGGGCTTTTAGGGGTTGCTTATATTGAATTTTTGAAATTTTTAAATTTGGAATAAATGCCGAGGTGGGTGGAGGAGGGAACTTAGGGTTTACTATGTTTATTGGATTTTGGATTGGTAGATTAATTAGTTTGTAGATGCGTTTAATTAGGTCTGTTTTGATTAGGAATACGCCTAGGGCCTTGAAGTTTTCTAGTTTATTTTGAGGGTTTAGTATTTCATCTAGAGTAGGAACCTTATTTAGATTGAGGGTGGTTTGTAGTGTGGTTCTGTGTGTTTGGTAGTAGGTGCAGTGGATGAGTGCGTGTTCTGTGGTTTCGGGTTGTTTGCAGTGGGGGCAGTTACCTGTGGTGTGTCTTTTAAGTTTTTTTAGGTGGTTATTTAGGTTCGTGTGTCCTGTTTGGAGTTTTGTAATTAATCTGTCAATTTTTTAGAGGGGTGTAGGATTTTAGGTTTGGCTAGTGGTTTTCTGAGCACTTTTTTGATTTGGCTATTTGAGTTTTGATATTGATTATGCCATTTTTTGTTTATTTTTTTGTTTGTTAACACTTTTAATTTCTGATTTTGAGATGGGTAGGTTTAGGCTTATTTCTGGTGTTTTGAGAGATAATTTAGCTGCTTTATCGGCGCTTTCGTTGCCGTTAATTCCTATGTGGGCGGGGATCCACAAGTAGGTTATTTGTTTGCCTGCTTTTGTTAGGTCGTTCGAGCTCTTAAGTATTTGGTTTATTAATTTAGGTCGTTTTGGGGTATTTTTGTTTTGGAGGGCTTGTAGTCCACTAAGGGAGTCGGTGAGAATTAGGATTTTATTGTTGTTTTTAGATTGTTGGTTATGCAGGGCTGAGGCCATGCCCATAAGTTCGGCCGTGAATATAGATTGGTTGTTAGGGAGTCGGTAAGATATAACTGGTTGTGTGGTATGGACTCCGAAGCCTGTGTGGTTGGAGATCGGGTCTGAAGATCCGTCAGTGTATATGTGACACCAATTTGGCCAATTTTCGTGTATGTATGCAAGTGTGGTGGTTTTAGCTTTGTTTGGGTCGGTTTGTTTATTTATTTATTTGGTTAGCTAGCGTTGTGTCTTTTTTTTGGTATTTTGAGTTTAGGGGTGAAGATATTTGATTTTCTGCAGTTTTGTTTAAGATTTTTAATTTGGTGTTCATTTAGGTGGTTTGTTATTCTTTGGGATATTGGGGTAAGTAAGGGGTGTTTACGAGCTAGAGCTTGGTTTTGGGCTGATGTTTTGGTTTATTAAGTTTTGGATGAGAGGGTTTGTTAGGGTCATGTTAGTCAGTTTCAAGTGTCTATATACTAAACCTAGCCATCTCAACTGTAAATCGTCTCATCTCAGTTTCTCAGTGTAATAATTGTTTCTTCCTATTGTTATTTTTGTAATTTCTAAAAATTGTCTTCTCAATATACAGGCCTCTTTCATTCCACTTACATTAATTTTTTTTTTTACTTACTTACTTACTTACTTACTTACTTACTTACTTACTTACTTACTTACTTACTTACTTACTTACTTACTTACTTACTTACTTACTTACTTACTTACTTACTTACTTACTTACTTACTTACTTACTTACTTACTTACTTACTTACTTACTTACTTACTTACTTACTTACTTACTTACTTACTTACTTACTTACTTACTTACTTACTTACTTACTTACTTACTTACTTACTTACTTACTTACTTACTTACTTACTTACTTACTTACTTACTTACTTACTTACTTACCGTGCGCTTTCCGGCTGATGCGTATTTCGCACACGGGCCCGGCCAGGCCATTTAATTTGTTTCCGAAAGGGGCGAAAGTGGTTTGTGCAACCCAAGAGGGGGCTTTAGGGGTTGCTTATATAGAATTTGGGAATTTTGAGATTTGGAATAGATGCCGATGGGGTAGGGGAGGAGAACTTTTTAAAACTTTCCCTTAAGTCCCCTAATCCCCTAAACCTCTACCCCTTTCATTTCTACTACCTCTATTCCAGACCTTAATCTCTCCTTTAGGTGAGTTCATAATGCCAGACAGGTAAATGCCGCGTGTTGTTTTAACTAATTGTAGGGGAACTGGGTTGTAGGGGAAATGGGATGTAGGGGTTTTGGGAGATAACCAGACAAGGACTTTGACCATTCTGTGCAGATGCATATAGAACAAGTCAAAGTTGGGTTTCACTGTATTTAGAAACAGACGATGTATCCAAAACCTTATAATAGTAATTATGATTGATTTAAACTTTGCCAGACCAATATTTTTGCAGATTTGCATGTTATTGTTAATCTTCATTAAGTTATTTTTTTTTAAAAGATAGGATAAATGACAAAATGTGAGAGTCTCTAGGGGAGGCTTATGACAAAATGGACAATAAAATATAAAGTGCTTTGCATTTTCTTTCAGAGAGGGTAGTGTAAAAAATGAATGAGAACATACCGGTAATACATGACCGGCCCCTTTAATGTAATGTACATAGTTTTTACATTTGGTGTGCTAGGGTAGCCTAGTGGGTAAAACAGTCTCTGAAACCCGGGTTCAATTCACCACATGGGTGAAGCCCATAGCTGCATGAAACTATACCAACACACTCGCTCATTATGTTGTATTTTGAGATCACTCACATGACCTGTGTTTTGATTATTATGAATAGTTCTGTTTTTATGTATAAGAACCTATGTAAGTTAGTTTTGCATTGTCTTGTTTACCCTTCCTTACATTTTGATGTAATGCAAACATTCAAGCAAAATTCAGGGGAACCTTGTGGTGCTTAAGGTATTGTTTAGAAGACCGGATACATTTTTGTATTTTCTGAACACTTTTCTGTTTGCAATGGCTTCTTTACATGTTCAAAGATTGGTTAAATATCAGTTGCAAGATAAATTGTCAATAACTCACTGTTCGAGAAAACAACATTTGTAAATATGTGTGTGTTTCATAATTTTTGAATAACAAGTTTCTAAAGATGTTATGAATTGTTTCAGGTACCTGGATTTCACAATCTGACACCAGCTACATTTAAGAAGATCTTGCTCACACAATTCAGACAAGGGACTTGCCGGGTGATGAACAATCCTCCCGATATCAACCAACAGATTCACCTCAGAAAGTGATCAGAATGAATGATGCCACATCAGTGTGACTGTAGGTGGTTATATTATGACACTAATCAAATCTGAATGAATTTATGCAAAAGCACTGTGACTATGTCCAGGTTGTGTACACCGAAGCTGACTATACAAATCTGAATGACTTTTGTGGTTTACTGCAGAAACATAATTGACTTTAGATATTCTTCTTCCATGAAATTCTTCTGAGATTTGACTAATTTGTTTATTAAGAAATTGGCATTGAAGCGTCTGTTCTGTAAGGCCTTGCAAACACCACTGGTTACTTTATGCTAGTTCCTCTTGCTTGATCAAATTTCAATTTGTGATATGTACCAACGAAATGCCATATAATCAATAAACAAGATTTTTTTCCCAAAACATTATTTGTTTTGCTTCATTAGCATAAAGAAATATAATACTGATCAGCCATAACATAGGTGCTGAACAAATATAAAATGTACTAATGCCCTGAATGTTTTCCTACTATAAATACAGCTCACTTAACAAAAGTTGTAGTTCCACATTAGTAGACAAATGACATTGATATTTTTTTCTGTACTTTATTTAGGTGTTTTCTATGGATGCCATTAGTCTTATGCACCAATTTGGGACAATTGTATTCTGTTTCATGTTCCCATGAAACTACACTGTCCAGATATAACAAGTACTGATACCGTTCCAAACTAATCTTTTAATCTCACCAGGGCCAAATGCTAAAGCACATAGCCAATGACTTTCCATTTTTATCTGAGCGAGAATGCTGTTTTGCCACTTTTAGCAATATTGCAACAATATCATGGTGGGGGACACCAGCAATAAGCTTCACACATTGGACCCATGTCACGAAACCAACTTGTGAACAATGCATGCCCACAGATCTCAGTTTTAGGAGGATATTTACAACTAAAAAAAACACAGAATATTACAACAGTTGTCTGATATGCAAAGGCTAACATCAATAACTAGAAACAAGACATGAAGATACCTTCCGGAAACCTTCCAGATACCTTCAGTAACCTTCAAACTTCTTGGTATTTTCAAGATAATTTTATTATGTGTTTCACACTCAAGTGAACAAAATGCACCCCCCAAATTTTGACATTTTTGGGGGAAGGTTTCCGGAAGGTTTCTAGGAAGGTATCCGGGCCGGATCCAAAATGGGTAGGTATCCGGAAGGTTTCCGCTTTTTTTGCTGTGTAAATGTATGTATGTTGTAATATCCTTAAGTTGCTGAGTGCGGCATTAGACAACAAACAAACAAAACATAATATTTTTAAGAATTATGTTAACAATATCCATACCTCTTTCTCTATATTAATATGAAAAACATAATAACTTTTAATAATCTGAAGGAATAAAATGACAAAAATATCATAATAATATCAATATTTATGTTGCTTATCCTCAACTGAAGTAGTCCCCCACACTATACATTCAGTGAAGCAGCCCATGAACGTAATAACTATGTAACATACATAAATGGAAATTAGATGAACAGTTGAAGTTAGCAAATGATACTACAGCCAATACTACATTATTGAATTGTGAGTCTATAGTGATTTTTGCAAGACTGCTTACATAAATGTCATGACGCATTTTAGGCACGGGTTCTATACTCGCATTAATGTGCTCACTTATTATTGCATTAATTTCATGATTTACAGGATTCATGAAGAACATCTCACGTGGGACGAACAGATGGAATTATGACTATCGACTTGCTGATTATTTTTTATATTCATGCTAGCTCAAACGATCTATTGTTTTGATTTATTGTTATGGTACATGTATCCACAAAATAAGTTGTTTTCCGTTTTTGTTGTTCTTTGTTTAACGCCGCACTCAGCAATATTCCAGCTATATGACGGTTGTCTGTAAATAATCGAGCCAGGACCAGACAATCCATCGAGCATCGATCCACGCAATTGAGATACAATGACATGCATCAACCAAGTCAGCGAGCCTGACCACCCAATCCCTTAAGTCGCCTCTAACGACAAGCATAGTCGCCTCTAACGGCAAGCATGTGTTGCTGAAGACCTATTCTAACCCGGATCTTCACAGGTCAAGAGGGATTCAACTGATATATTAAGATGAAACAAAAACTGAATAATATTTGCTGTTTACATATCGAAGTTTGCCAAATTGTTACAAAATGTTTGGCCACGGCAAGGCTACGTATTCACAACATATTGTGCAAGGCACAATATAACTGGACTGAGGGCCGTATTCCTCCTTGTGGGTCACCTGCTTGGCAATATTTGACAGGAAAACTGCAGGGGGTGAGGGCAGTAAGTTGATGGTACAGCCAGATAAGAGAGATCATTTTACAAATGTGAAACCTCATTCAACAAAGGAAGAGTGGAACGCTGAAACTTAGTGAGGTCCGACAGATCGAATGGGGCGAGGGTTGATCATTGACAGGGCCTGAAAGAGTTATCTGCTGGGGGGCCGAGATTTCCCATATGAAGTTGAAGTCTGGCCTGTATGTCCCTGATGTCTTGTACTTGGATGATCTCTGACTTGGTCAGATGGATACGGAAGACCAGATGAGTCATAAGCCCAGCCCAGATTAGTCATGATCAAATGACTCATGTTCTGATGTAGTGGACATCTGTCTTGATCTTCAGCTAGAAATTGTCCAGGTAACTATGAAGACAGACTAGCTGTAGGTGGGCAGAGCTGATGATGGTAGCCATGATCCTGGTGAATAGGACATCGAAATCCCAAATGAAAGGACTTGAAACTCATATCGTTGGTATTTTCTCGATGCCTGATAGATTCGTACATCTTGTAAATTGAGGCTGATTAGCCAATCTCCCCTTCTGAGGCCCGAAGGTATCTTCCGCACTGATGACATCTGGAACTTGATGATGAACTAGCAATGATTCGTTGAGGACCTTGAAATGGTTGATCTTCCTAATGTCCGGGGAGTTTTTCTTCAGGACTTAACAAGTAAAAACTCAGTCAGCTTCTTGAAGTCTCTCGGCTGCCTCTTGTTTGAGTCCTTCAAGATGGATTACTTGCCAGCATACAATGTTAGGATGAGTCTGGTATTGTAGCTTGTGTCTGTTAGTACTGGCGCCTAAAATCCAGTAGTTGGATCTGCTTCCAGTTCTTGGTATATGACGAAAGATTTCCTCTCATTGAACCCGGAGTCGGCGTTAGGTTAACAGTAGACGTAGATCGGTGTCCAAAGATAAGGCCACCTTAATCGGATCAAAAACGAAGGTAGAGGTGGGTGTAGAGTCATAATTTATGATCACCCCGACTACCAGTTTTAGATCTTCTTTACCTACTTGCACGCTGTTGTTAGTCAGTTTGATATGAAGTTTCAAAAGGAATCATTCTTCGGTCTGCTCGAACAAAGTCCTTTCCAGAGGACAAACTTCTTCTGAGTGGGATCACTAAATTTGGTGTTCCGAGAATGTTCTCTTGTGGCCTGTGAGCTTTTACAGTCAGGTTAGTGAAGGCCTGGAGTTGCTCTGTTGTATCTTTCATGCACTTTGGCGATGACCCATCCTAGTTCGTCATTAAAGAACTCGGTTGCTGTCATGAGTTGTGGCATATCCATCCTCTTGGACTGATCTGAGACAGCTCTGGAGCGAATCTGGGAAGTAGTTCTTGACACTGGTCCCATATTAGCCGAGATGACATCCAAACTTGGTTCGAGAGGAATTCCTCCTGCATGCGGACTAAGGAGTATGAATGAGTCTTGCCTTATGGTCAGATGTGTATCCCCTGTGAATCCCTTGTAAGACTCGCGTAGTGGTGGGAAGACATTGTGAATTGTGAATTTCTGCCAGGGACCGGTTTAAATATGCTTTCCGATGGCCATGGAGTTTTTATATACTGAAGGTCGAAGTTATCATGGTATTAGTCTTATATAATCTCTTCTTAAAGTGAGTGAGTTGGGTTTAACACCGCTTTAAACATTATTCAAGTTATATCACGGCGTGTCAGCTTAATGTGGGAGGAAAGCCCGAAGTGATGCAGGTCTCAGACGTTTTCCACGCTGGTGAGACCCAAGGGCTTGAGTATGGTGTTGACAAACCTAGAAACAAAATTGGGGCGAACCTGGATTCGAACCGACAATCATAGCTTTCTGACGTGCCCAAGGGACGCAAGACTGTACAGAGAATCACGTCGCCTAATTAGACGACTGGGCCACCCGTGCCCCACTCCTATTGAATGACAATAAGGTAAGGTGACTATCACGTCTCAACTTCTGGAGGTTATCAGATGCGTGGTTGATGACATGACATGTAACTTGGCCATGGGAAGGTATGATGCACATGCTGGCAAACCGCGTACTCAGGCATCTGTTGTTACTCCAACTCTTCCAACTTAGGTTGAGGAACTGGCAAAAGGTGATAACGCTCTACATGAAGTCTGATTCAGAATCCATAGGGAGGCCCCAGGAGAGAGGTGAAATAATGCAAGGTGTCCGTGTCATCCATGGGATCCACTCGGTCCCGTGCAGATCTCCAAAGGATGCGCAAGTTTCCGAAATGATGTTAGTTCTCGGAAGATATGATGGCATGGTGTGGCTAACTGGATCCAAAGAAGTAGGCTGGTCTTCTATAAAAGCTAGGGTTGCCGGAGGTGAGAGCTGCTTCCCGAATGGTGACTGGTGGAAACCGTCTGCTTCTGTGAGATAAAAGATTCCATGCGGGATCCGTGCAGAGGCCCCATAATGGTAGATGACTTGTGCTCAGAGTGTGCAGTGGTCGGGAAGACCCCTTATCAGTAGATGATTTGTTTATGAACAGTGCGGTGGCTTAAGAGATCCCAAGATCGTAGGCAGGGAATCCGTGTTCCATGAGGTTAACAGTGCTGTATTTTTATGACAGTCTTGGGTACAGTGTAGGGAGCGTGACGGTCAGGAATCAGCTGCGTAAAGCTTGGAAGCTCCCACCCTGATGACTTGTTGGTGTTTTATTTGCTATGTACGGCCTCGGTAACGGATGATGATGACTGACCAGGCCCTTCTGTTGACAAAGCTGTCAACAAGGAGTTTAAAAGTGATTACACGGTCGACTTATGCTTGGAAATACAGTTGTTCAAGCATGCTTAGGGAGAAGCTTGGAGCTGGTGGCAGGCTTTGAGACGGCTCGATAGAAGGAGCGGTAGTGGAAATGGTTAGGGACGTAATCGAATCCACATTCATCTTGTGGAAGGCTGCTTTTGAGACGGGGGTACATAGCTCACACTGAGAGTCTTTGGTTAATCCTGCCTCTCATACTTCTAGCTGGAAGCATGAGGATCTCCCATTATAATAAAATGACCACATGTCTTACATGTCTAGGGGGAGGTTGATGGCGCCACGAAGGGTTTACCCACAGAACACCCTATAATAGTATCC